GCCCTGCCCCCGCATTGATGTGGCACTGGTAGAGTCGGCTCCTGCTCTGGACACGGAGTTAACGCCTGGGCACCGGCCACTCAGCTCCGTTCCGGATCCGGCCTGTTCCCCGCCGGCTGTCCTGGGGCTGGGGGCACTTCCCCCGCAGCTCACGCCGGTGCCTTGCAGGCGGGACATGTACCACTTCGGGGTGCGCGTGTCCATCGTCGAACCCGGGTTCTTCAAGACGGCCGTGACTAGCCTGGACGCCATCGAGGCCTCGCTGCAGGAGCTGTGGAGTCAGCTGGCGCCCGAGGCCAGGCAGAGCTACGGGGAGGATTTCTTCCAGCAGTGTGAGTGCCGGGGCCCGGGCCGGCCAGGGCCAACCCCCAGAGCTGGGCCTCTGGCACTGGGGTGCTCAGGTCACAGGCTGAAGGGAAATGGGGGGCCCCCTTCATCCTGTGAGACCCCCACTCAAGTCACTTACCTGCTACCCTGCCTCAGTTTCCCCAGCTGCAGAACAGGGCTGTGGGGAGACAGTCAGCTGATCCCCTGCACTCCCCACGTGGGGCTGCTCTTTGTCCCCCCCCCCCCCTCCCCGTGTGTCTCAGTCCAGCCCATGGCCACTGAATGGGGAACCCCTCCCAGCTGCTGGGGTGGGGGCTGCGTAACCCAGGTGCTGCAGAAGCAGAGGTGGGGGGCATGGCAGGGGACACAAGAAAAGAATCGCAGCCCTGAGGAGACAGGAAGTGCTGTGCCTTCCGCTGGATGCAAGAGCCACCTTCACTTCCTGTCCTAAACTCCCCTGCCCAGTTGCTGCATGGCTGGATAAACACTGCCCCCGCCCCCAGGTGGTTGAATCTCAGCGCCGGGCAAGGCAAGGCATCCCTGTCTAAACAGCTGCCGTGCTCCACCCCAGAGGTGGCTGCATCTCACTAGTAACACAGAGGTGCCCGGGGCAGGTAGGCAGTGGCCCAGGAGGCAGGAATGGGAGCCATGCATGGGGGGCTGTGCCCAGCCCTGCCTCACCAACCCCCTCCCCTCCCCAGACCTTAAGGTGCAGCGTCTCATCATGAACTTCATCTGCGACCCCGACCTGAGCAAGGTGACCAGCTGCATGGAGCACGCGCTGCAGGCCAAGCACCCGCGCACGCGGTACAGTGCCGGCTGGGACGCCAAGCTGCTCTGGCTACCGGCCTCCTACCTGCCGGCCTTCCTGGTGGATGTTGTGCTGGCCACGATCCTGCCGAAGCCGGCTCGCCGCAGCCGCTAGCCCCAGCGCTGTACGTGGGGTTTAGCCCAAAGAATGTGATTGGGCCCCGGCCCCCCAAAGCCTCTTGGAAATAAACCAGCCCCCAAAGGACGCCAGGCCTGGCCCGCTCGGTTCTGTTCACATTCCCCCGGGCAGGGACCGGGCAATTCCCCTTCCCAGCCGGGCTTCGCCTCCCGCCAGCCCCCTGCTCAGTGCGACAGCGGGGGGCTTCCTGGGTCTCGCCCCGCTGCTGGGAAGGGAGGGGGCCAGTGGAGTGTGGGGGGGGTCAGGACTCAGGGGTTCTCAGCCCAGCTGCAGGGAAGGGAGGGGGCCAGTGGAGTGGGGGGGGGGTCAGGACTCGGGGGTTCTCAGCCCAGCTGCTGGGAAGAGAGGCAGCCAGTGTGGGGGGGGCGTCAGCTGCTCAAGGGGGCGCTGGGGCCAGGGCGCTGGAAAGCAGGACCCCTGGCTGGGCGAGTCACAGCCGGTGCCCACGCTGCCCTGGGGCTGTTACGGACTCACGGATCGTGCCCACTCTTGGCCCCGTGCGGTCCGTGAGGGGTGCCCCTGTTAGTGAGACAGCCCTTCTCGGGGGTCCACTCCACTTTGTCACAGGCTGCAGGCTCTGCCCCTTTCAAAGGGCCAGGCCCACCCGCCCGCAGCTCCCATCCTGCTAGCCCCGGCCCCGGGGCTTGAACCTGCAAAGCTCGGGGCTGGTTAGGTTCCCCTCCTGCAGCCCCACATGTGACCAGCAGGGGGCCCAGCTGGGAGACAGTAAATGTCACGTCCCACTAGCCCTCAATGGGGGCAGCCAGGCCTCCTTCGCTATGGGGGATGGGCTGCTCCCGGGGGGGGGCACAGCTGGGCCCCTGCCCAATCCGAGCAGGCGGGAGTGAGCTGCTCCCAGCCGAGGGCTGGCCCCAGGTGAGTCGAGTTACTGGGTCTCAGCTGCACGGCCCATGCACCAGCCTCAAGCAAGGCACATATGGGTCACGGAGCCCCCCTGCCTGGCCATTGGGGGCCCGGAGATGGAGCGGGGGGGTCCCCACGCCCACTGTGGGGGGCAGAGGGGACACCAGGAGGCCACCGGGCGCCAGGGCCGAGCCCCATGTCTGGTCGGCAGGGGGCCCCCGGCCTCACCCCACAACTAGCTGATCCCCGGCCCCAGCCCAGGGGCT